TGGTGTTATCAGGTTCCCAGACCGGCTGGCCGTACGTGAGACCAGCCATGAAGCGATCATGGCACCGTATGCTTGCTCTGATGTTGGCCGTGGAATCGGTCTCAACTGGGTGGCCATTGGTAACAGGAAGGCTATGGTGTGTATAGCCTCGCCGAACAGGGAGGCCGATGCGATAGAAGTACTTGCTAAGCTCAAGCTTCCAGGGGTGGCCACCACGCCGGTCACCTGTTTGAGGTGGCGCGACGATACTCGTGGGTTGGTGGCGGGCGTGGCCCGAGGCTCCGAATATCGTCTGTTTCTACTTCACTGGGATGGCGTGGGAGCTCCTCTTAGTGTAAGTCACTCCCTAAGCTGGTCCCGAGGGCACGGCGAGCGGCTTCTGGGTGTTGACTGGTTCGATGGCTATGTGCTGGGAGTCGAGACTGCCGCTTGTGTGGTGTTTCGCGAGGACCAGGAGCAAGGCACCGAGCCACTGCGGTTGACCGGTGGTCGTAGGGAGCGGGCGACGCGAACGTGCAAGCGTAAGCGTCGCATATGCCTTCAAGCGGAAACGCCGATCTGGTGCATGGGTGCTGTCCTGGGCAGCAGTGGCGACGTTTTATGTGCCTGGGATAACCGTACTGTGAGATGGCATTTAGCGGTCGATGGTGGACACTCTCAAGGAACGGTGGTGTTGAATGGCCTCGTGCTTGGCATGTTCAGAATGGGTCCGGAAAATTTATGTGTCGTCAACAGCAGCGAAGTGATGCCATTGTCCCGGCCTCCTGGTGAGGAAGCAAGCACGGAATCCACAACTGTTCCTGGCGAGTTCAATGGGGAAACGACCAGCAGATAGAGGAATTGCCATCGTAGGAATTCGCGAATTTCATACGACTGTCACTGGTTGTAGTATTACAGTAAACTAGTACTCTCGCGTAGTCCATTCTATTGCCAATCCAAGTTTAGTAAACCATCGTATTGTGTTTTACAGTATTTCAATCAGAAGTGCCACAGGTCTGACCATGCCAGATCTGACCTCCTACTTGCGGGGTTCTCCCCCGTCATCACCTACTCTCAAGGAGTGCCTCATCGAAG